CGGAAAAACCAGGGGCTGCCCCAAGCCCCAGCGCCACGAGGCCGCTGCAGCCGCGATTCCGCAAGGAAAACAGGGAGACACCGGCATGGAGTTCAAGTACTTTATTCTGAGCCTGCAAGAACCTAGAGGCCGGGCAGGCCCTTCCACAGCGACCCTGGCCGCTTCCCCGTCCTCCTCCCACGGCCCGGCCTCGAGCGGCCCCCGGCTCGAGGGCCCGCACGGCGCCGGGGCGCAGAAAGCGGCAGCTCCGAGACCCCTGGGGTCCTGAATGTCAGGGAGGAGGAGCTGCTTTGGAGACAGGGAAGCCGCACGCCGCTCCGGTGTTCTGCCCCGGCCACCCGAGCCCCGCGCAGGGCTCGGGCCTCCAAGTCACCTCCCTGGGGCCTCTGGGAATGGGGGCCCTCCCGTGAGATGGGGGTCGCACTTGCTGTCCCAAAAAGCGTTTCAGCAAGGCCCTCCCATTGCAGCATTTCTTAATCCTGCTGCTCAAAGGGTTTCGCTTCCTGAGAGAGGAGTCAGCAAGTTATTTCTAAAATTAATTTGAGAGTTCAACATTTATCCTTTCACTTCTGAAGACAATTAACCGCAGCCTAAAAACCAAGTTAAAACCACATAACCACCTCCATTCCAGTATTTTTTTGACAGACGCAGCTGCCCGCGCGAGCGGCTCGCGCGGCGCCCTTGGGCCCGCGGCACCCCGGGATTCCTGGAGTCCCCGCAAAGGCCTCGGGGCGGCCGTGCCCGGCTGCGCCCTCCGGTCAGGGCCACGAGGGCCCGCGAGACGTTTGGGGGCAGGAGGACGAGCTACCAAACTACGTTCCTACGAAATAAAACGATCTAGGTCAAACCCGCGAGGAGAACCCGGCGCTGCGGAAGCGCCTCCTGCATCACCGCGCTACCCCCACCCAACCAAAGCTGCTCTGGAGAAAGAGCCAAAACCCCCTGCGGCAGCAAGAGGGGCTGAGCACGGCCTCGACGAGCCCGGGGCAGCGGCGTTAGCTTCATTGGACTGTATTTAAATAAACTACTAAGAGAAATTAAAATGGCCATGCACTAAAATATCCTGCCTGCCGCGCGGGCGGGCAGAGCCCCGCGCACGGCCCGCGCTCCCCGGCCCTTCGTGGGTGTCCCAAAGCAGGGAGCCATTTCATGGAGCGGCCTAAGGAAGACGCCGAGAGGAGTCGGCTCCGCGGCAGCGGCCGGGGCGCCCGCGAGGGCCGGTGCCCAGCGAGACATTGGGAGGGAGCAGCCACCTGAGGACCCGAGCGAGGAACAGCCGCCCCTGCCCTCGCGCTCCCCGCGGCTCCGCAGGGCCAGGCCCTGGGTGCTCAGTCCAGCTCAGAGCTTCTTGAGGCGGCTGTACAGCTCCCTTTTGCTCTTCTCGCCGGCCCACGTGCGGCTCTTGGTGCGGAAGCGCTTCAGGTCTTCCTTGAAGTCCTCGTGGTGCATGGGGCGGTAGCTCTGGGGCTCGCAGAAGCTCTGGGGAAAGAGAAGCAGCTTTTTGAATTCAAGGACAAAGCCCAGAGATTCAAGACATCGCTGGAAGCGACGGCGAGGGAAGGGCTCTCCTCCCTGCTCACCACCGCACACCGCGGGTGACCCGAACACCTCTGTCCTGCCCTGAACACCTCTGTCCCGCGCTCACCTTGGAACGGGATAAAGAGGGAACGCAGCCCAGCCCCGGGGCTGGGCAGCCCTCGCTGAGCAGCGGCTGATGCTGCCATCAGCTGTCCCCTGCTGCCACCTTGAGGCCCTCGAACCCTCCACGTCAAACCCGAGAGGGGCCAGAACAAAACCCAGAGGCACCACCGATGTCCAAGGCCCCGAGAGGGCCGGAGTGCTGGGACACCCTTGTGCTCCCCACGGTGGGACAGAACGTGCGAGATGGCAGCTCTTAGTCGTCTTCTCTCACGTTGAGGCCAAAACCCTCAAACCTCAGGTTGAACTTGGCTATTTTAGCCCACTACAGGACTGCAGATTTCCATTTGTCATGGAGCAACCGCTCAAGCATCTCTTCCCCCCAGGCCCTCGCAAGCTGGGCAGGCTCCAGGCTCCTCTCTGGGGCCGTTTCGAGCTTTTAGCTGCTCTCAAAGGGCAGAAGCCAGCTGTACATTTTATTCTAGAGACAAGTGAACAAAATCCTTCAGCTTTGGCACCAGGACAGCACTAAGGTATGGAACAGGCTTAAAGTAAAGGCAGCTTCACCATGAAGTTTTAAGCACATGCAGTAGAGGAGAGCACTATGAAAGAAAGCAGGAAAAGACACTCCTGGAACCTGCTCTGTTCAAGGAGAGGCCTGATCTGGGACAGAGATATTTATTGTTTCCCTTTTCTAAGCACAGCACCCAGTACAACGTGACCTACCCGGCACCTTGTGAAGAAGTCCTTGTAACCCCCCTTGAGAACGTAGAGCTCGGGGTAGTGGAGGTTGGGGTACTCGTTACCCAGCCTGTCTCGCTCCCTCACGAACCGGCACCTGTGGCGAGAAAACATCGAAAAGAACAAACCTCAAGGACCTGCAGGCCACGGGGTGCCACGTCCCTGCCACAGGGCACGAGCAAAGCTTCCTGGTGAGGAACTGCACTGTGGGCCTGCTGGCATGTCACCGGTGCCACCCTGACCCCCTGGCACAGCAGCAGGCGCCGGGGGCACGCGGAGTAACTCACATTCGAGGACCCCGCTCGGAGGAGAACTCGCAGTGGAACACTACGATCACGCGCTTGTTCTCCGAGGGCACGATCGGCTTCTTGAGCAGGTAGTCCTCCACGTCCTCCTCCATGTGCAGATTCACAGCACCCTGCAACGGCAGGGTCACCCCTGAGCACGCGCGAGCGCGGGACAGACCGGCCCGGCCCCTGCAAGCTCCGACCTGGTCTTACAGCTCCCGAGAGGAGCTCCAGGGCTGCCAGGCCGTGCAGGCACTGCAGGGTGCCTGCCCACCCCTTTCCAGTGCCCATTCAAATGGCCAGAGATGGTGGATATTTGGATTCCCCCTTTCCCTCTCAGGGTATCCCAGTGCCAGGCAGCTTGCTCAGTCCAAACCCCAGGGCGAGTCACCCTTTGCTGCACACAGTCAATTCTTCTGCCACTGAACCTGCGGATTAGCTGCTTTAATATTCTAACCTTAACCCTCTTGAGATACCAGGGTGCTGGCAGCAAGGCCCTTGCACCCTCCTCTGCCTCGGGACTGTCTCCCTGCTTGGCACACGGGTCACTGTGTCCTTCCTTTGGAGGAAACCAACCCGGGCACCCCAGCTGTAACAGCTCCACGTGGCCTCCCAAGAGTCTCACAGCACCAGGTGACCTCAGTTTGCCCTAGAAGCACTTCTGGCAACCGCACATTGCTCTTACAGGGTCAACATACCTTAATGTGGCCTCCCTCATATTCATATGGATATCTACAATCAATTATCACACATTCCTTGATGAAGCTCGCAAACTTCCCAGTGAGCACAGACACAATCTGCAAAAAAGAGACTTCAATCATTTTGAGGCAGTTTTTTTTTTTCTGCAAAGGAAGCGTCTTACCACCCCGGAACACGTACCATCTCCGAGTCGATGTATTTTAAGTCTTGATGTTTCCCATCGACAGTGTGGAATAAGTAACCCTAGAAAACAGACAGCATCTAACTGAGAACATCCCAAGCGTGAACCACATCTGATACTACAGCATCCAGCAATTACTCAGTCAGAGACACTTTGTTGACACACACCACACACCCATACTCTTACTCAGGGGCACAGTTTTTCTTCAGATCCTAAAGACAGTTATTCCTAGCTCTTTTTGAATGACTAAAAGCTGCTTCACACACCCATACTCTTACTCGGGGGCACGGTTTTATTTCAGATCCTAAAGACAATTATTTTCAGCTCTTTTTGAATGACTAAAAGCTGCTTTTATAGATTAGACACCCATTCTTCCTCAACTGACACTATTTACTAGTTACTTGTGATGAAAAGTGCTTTACTTGGGTTGGTTTGAGACATTTCCACACAAAGACACCAAAGTCACCTGAATTACCTTGGAGAAGTCACCAATAAGGTCTCTCTGGTCACTGTCCAAAATGCTCTCGATCTCCGCCGAGGATTGCCTCCTTACTATTTTGGAGCTCTAGAGAAACACGGGTTAGATAATACCACGTACTGACAGTCTGGACACCCTTTTCCCATAGGATAAAGGAAGACGGTGCTTACTCCAAGTCTTGGACTGCAACTCCCCAAGCTCCCTTTAGGATCAGGCCAAAGCCCCGGGTGCAGATGCACACAACTACTGCAGCAAACCCCCGAGCTCCTGCACTACAGTGACAGTGACAGGGCTTCCCCGGGGCCGGCTGTTTAAGGGGAGCTCTCATTAACCTGGATAAACCCGACCCTTAGAGCGGATCGGGCCCTATCGCCTCCGTGTCAACCCACCGTTGACTCTTCCGCGAGCGTTCCTGGCAGGCTCCTCCGCTTCTTGCTCTTCCCTGGGGAACTCTCCTCCTGGGATCTCTCCATTCTTTTCTGGGGGGTTCTGCCCACCCCACTGAGCAGAGATGAAGAACCAAACAGCCGGCATCGCTTGCCCTAGGAAGAGGGAGACATATGACAGTTCAGCAAAGATTAAAACTGGCTGAACTCCCTGGCTGTAGGCGCTGGAGGTGAGTCAACACAACAGGTCCAACACATGCTAGGGACCACCTGAGAGAAGGTAAGATCTTCCTTGCTCTGATGAAGCCTTTTCTTCTTGCAAGGAGGAAGTTTACAGCCTATCTACGCACACAAGGAGCATTGTTCTGCACTGACAGACTTCCAGGCAGCGGGGCTTTGGAGACAAGAGGATCCTGTGGCGTTTTATTCCCCACCTCATTATGCCGCTGTTCCTGGGGATAGGGCACCAGGGACAGCGCGGCCGCTTGTCTCGGGGGGGACGACAGCTGCCACAACAAAGCGCCTGTAGCCGGCTGTTGTGCTGCGCCGCAACACTCACCCGATTGTCCGTTCTCCGCATGACCAGCGGCGCGGTCCAGAGGCTCGCCACGCCGGACGGCATCTCCTCGTCGTTCTGCGGGAGGGAGGGAGGGACTCGCTCCGATTCCCTGCGGAGCCCCGGGGCCGCTGCCCGGCTCGCTCACCCGCTCAGCCCAGCTCGGCTGCCGGAGCAGTCTCAGGAATTGCTTTCCCCCCTCCTCTTACCCATGGCACAGGCAGGGACACCATTTAAAAGAAATCAGGTGAAACCTCAGTGAAGCCATGGAAAAAATATATCAACTCCTCAATTAATAAGGATGCCATTTGCACCTTAAGCATCTCCAATGCAGATAGAAACATTTTCTACTTTAAGTATCCTGAAAACAAGTACTCTTACCCCCGGCTCTCTTCCAAGCAGGCTTCTAAAGCTAACTACCCCTGCTCGGATAGTACCTCCTGCCCCTGGAGTTCCCTCTGGTAAATGCAGTTCAGCTACCAAAACGGGGGAGCAGCAAGGGCTTCCTTAGACTAACTGCTGCCCTCATCCCAACGGATCCCATCTCCTGCACTGCTTCCTAGCGCAGACACACTGCAATCTGCAGGTTGAAAGAGAGAAGACCTTGTCTTGCAGGGCACCCTGGCACCTTTTTTTGCCATTTTTTCCACTTATCACCCTGATTTCTATAAAACAGACAGGTACCACAGACACTGCCAGCAGAGCAGTAAGGCTACCCAGAGCTGCTTTTAAATATCTTACATCTCCCCTTCGTACGCACCTGCAAGTCTTGATCATCCAAGAGCTCCAGGAAGCCGTCGTCATCTTCGCTCTCGGAGGAGGTCAGGGAAGGCTGCTGCAGGAAAGCTGCCCTGTGGTTTTCCCCATCACCCGGGGGTACTTTTCCACTGGGAAGCTGAGAGAAGACACTTAGTTTTAACAAAATTCCTTTTCTTTCCTGTGGGATTCTGTAACTACACGGATGGTGTCACGGCTCTCACTGCACTCCAGAGAACATGACAGCTCTTCTACTGCTTCAAATACACCAACTTGAACACCCCAAACTGGGTTCCAATACCTTTTTTGGCCATTACAGGAGAGGAGTTTTAACCAAGGAACCACCACGCAAGTTTTTCTTTCAGACACCAGGTACACAGAAAATGAGGCAGGAACTGGCAGCCAGGAACACCGTGGTACTCACTGCGTGGGCTGGGGACGCGCTTGGCCTTTGGCCGAGGACATCTCTTCCATCGCGGGAATGGACGTGCACGGAGCTGCGAGGACCTGGCCTGGCTGGCTTCTTAAACTCGAATGATTCCTGAACCAAGGAGGGGCAAAGCCATTATTTTACCACAGAATTTTACATTTTACCTGGACGCATCTCAGCTGCAGCCCAGGAGGTAGCAAGGGAAAAGCTTTCCCAGCGCCCCTGCTGCCGGAGAGCAGCAGCCCCTTGGGCCACAGCCGCGCAGGAGAAGAGCACCACGTACGTTCTCCTTGTTTTCCTCTTGATCCGACAGCTGAAATGCTTCGCAATCCAGCGAATCCGAGTGGTTTCTCTTCAGAGCGGGGCTGCAGCCCAGGAGCCTCTGCTGCAAAGCAAAGCCAGGTCAGAGTCACAGAGAGCAGGGGTGGATAACGAAGCCTGGCTGCAGAATGGTGCAAACACACACACATCTCTAAGGCTGGTAGCTTTAGAGCTGGTGCAGGTGCCACAACACAGTTCTGGCCACGGCAGTGACAAAGCTACGGCAGTGACGTTTCACACCAGCACCAGCCACGTTTTTAAGTTTACAAACTGAAATTTTGAGCACTCAGTAAGCAACACGGCAGCTGCTCTTGAGGTTAGAAAATTAGCGAGTTCTGGGATGTGGCCAATTAAACAACACTTGACACTGAATCCGTTCAGGTTTACCCGAGATGAACACCGTCCTCACTTACCGGCAGCGAATGGATTCTTCGGAGAGGCAGGCGGAAGCTACGAGGAAAGAGAACCAAGAGTTAGCTCAACAAGGCCAGTAAGACGAGGGAAAAGCCATCTTATTCAGAAAAGGCTCTAAAAGCTGGAGATCTAGGATCAGCTGGAGACGTTAGAGCGGAGATACTTACTTCAGTCTGCTAGACTCCAGAATTGCTTTCTCAAACCTGAAAATAAGCAAGACAGCCAGCAATGAACCTCAAGGGCACTAGATCAACCCTGTAGGAAGTCATGAAGCATTACGCTGAAGGAAGCTATTTTTGTGAGGACTAGCTGCTCCCCTTCTCCCCCTCTGCTCCCCAGATTCTTTTCAGCACTGTTTGGACAAGAAGCCAGCTTCAAAGCTCAGTAAATCAGGGACCAAGGGCACCATCCCTCATCCCTAGGGGGAAAAGTTTAGAAAAAAATCCAGCGGAGAGCAGCAAATTCAAACCAAGGGCAATTGCTTGCTCCCCATTAAACTATAGCTTTGTCTGTACACCCCTTAAAGGTGAAAATGCACCCCACACACAAGCTGGGGCAGCCCCAGACTCCCAGGAAGGTGCCAGTTGGGCTGGTACGACCCGACCCAAGGCCTGGGAGGGCTCTGGGCCGCTGCCAGGAGCTCCAGGGAACGCGTTCAAGGGCAGAGCCCACGGCTCCCTTGGTTAATGGCACAGCCTCCTGCAAGCGGCTACGTACGTTTCCTCCACGACGTCGTCGGGAGCCGCAGCGCCGGGCGAATCCAAGGCGCAGCCTGCGGGAGAGAAGGGGGTTGGCTCCGGAGCGCTGCGTCGGCGCCGGGAAGCGCGGGCCCCGCCGGGATCCCCTGGGAAAGACGCGGCAGCGCGGGCAGGAGCCGGGTGAGCTGCGGGTGTTAACGCCGCGGGAAGCGGTTCGGGAAAGCGTCCTGCCCACCCGGGTCAGGAAATCACTGCTTCACATGGAATATTCACGGCTCGGGACACAAGAGGGCCCTTTGGGGCATTTATAATGCAGGTTTTAGTTACATTTCTTCACAGGCAGAAGTTTGGGGCTCACCCCCTCCAGAAGCAGGCAGAAATCCCCTCCTAAGGCCCGTTGGTGCCCTAGGACTAATGGGGAGCACCCCACAACCCTGCAGCCGAGGGGCAGCTCTCCAGCGGAGCCGGCACGGAGCCTCCTCCGGCGCCGGCTCCCGAGGGCTCGGATCAGAGCAGCGCTCGGGCCCCAGCACCTTCCCAGGGCGCGCTCCGAGCGTGGCAACGCCTGGGGCCCGAGGAAGCACGGGGAATTACCTGGGGAACTTGCCAGCTAGCGACCTCAGCACAGCAGAAACCCTAACAGGGAGTATTTTGCAAAAATAGTGACTGAAAAGTGAAGCTAGAAGGGCTGTTGTCAATACGAGCAAGGCTAGGGGCTTAGGACCTGCTTTGGAGACAGAAGAAGTTTCCACAAGGGTGCAGAGATTCACTTGTTTTTGTCCTGTCAGCCTGTGGTTTGCCAGCTCTGCTGCGTTTTGCAGCTTCATAAGGTCCCTTTGAAGGCCAAACCCCATGTGCAGTCAGGCTGCTGTGTTAACTCAGCCTGATTTGTAGCACCAGGGTGAACCAAGAAAGTGTCAGAAGCTCCCCTGAACCTAGAGGCCCTGGGGTACCGGCACACGTCATTGAACCCACACCACATCTCCCCTGAAGAGGTTCTTCTGGTAACCCAGCTAAAACCCAGCTCCCCAGAGGGCAAGGTAAACACGCAGCCAGTGGAAACAAAACAGAAGCCACGAGCAAAACCCAGGCCGCAAGATAAGGCTTGTTCAGCACTGAGCATGCGGAACAGCCTAGTTTGGGTTTGAAGAGGGAAACCACACGAAGACAACGTGCTCTAGAAGCCACCGGCCTCCGAAGGGCAGGATTTCAGCTCCGCTCCGTGGGAGCGAGCGCGGATGTGACGGAGCCTACCCGGGAATGACAAATAGCGCTGCAGTCGTCCAGGAGCCCCACGCACGACCAGACACGACGGACCCCAGGGGGGCTCAGAGTGGCTAGCAAAGCCCGTCCTGGGGCAGCTTTAGTCACCTCGGGCTGTCTGTGCTGCGAGGTCGAGACGCTCACGACAAGCGGAACGGCAGAGCCGCGCTGCCGAGCGGGGCA